TTAAAGAAAGAGAAATGGAATATGGAAATTGAAATTTGGAAAATTGGAAAATTGAATTAAAAATGCAAAAACTAATAAAATTAAATACGAGCAAATTGATAACAAAGAGATTAAGAGAATAAATGAATAAATGATAATGAGAGATTAGAGAATATGAGAGAATTTGAGTTGTGAGAAAAATGTGAGATTTAGGGCCAATTTATAGAAAAAAAATGGGAAAGAAAAATGACAAAAAAGACCCCTCAACGGCTATATTTCAAGGGTAAAGGGGTAATTTGAAAAATAAAATAATTTTTTTATTTTTTTCGGCCAACCTGGCGGTTGGGGGTCTCTTTCAAAAGAGACAAAACAGCATTTTGCAACCCGACCCGCCGGGGGTTGCTGCCAGGGTAGGGTCAACCCGGACCATCATCTTGGCAGTCCGGGTTCAACCCGCTTCATTACAGGCCGGTTAGAGTTGACCCACCTCACTCGACCCATTTGTTCCACTTTAATCACATAACATATCAGGTTAACCACTTGGCTTGTGACGGTTGGCAAAACTTTAGATAATTAAGAGATTTTGTGTTCGGTTTCACTAAGTAATCTTCTACCACATCTATAAATTATTGACCCATTGAGCTTGTAAAGTGTTTAATGAACACCAAAGATTAGTCGAGGTACGTACAAATTGACCCGAACACCTGGTTACCAAAAAAAAAAAAAAAAAAGAGATCCAAGATTTTCATTGATATTTATCGTAAATTTGAGAATTCTAAGAATGATTATGGAGAGCTTATACCCTAATTCAAATTATAGGCACTAACAAGTTTAAAGAGTAACAAATCCTTAGTTGAAGGATCATTAATTAGCAAAAACCCTCAAATATATTCAAAAATTTCTAAATTATCAAAATTTCAACCAAAAAAAAAAAAAAACCCTATACTTATGAACTGTTTGCCAAATACCCCTTTTCGTCCTTCTTGCACTAAAAACCGACTGAGCTTAGTACTCTGGTTAACATGAGATGTGCACAATGGCTAGAATAAGTGGCCGAACCATCTATAGATAAAAAGCTAGTACTCCTGCTTAACATGAGATGTGCACAATGGCTAGAATAAGTGACCGAACCATCTATAGATAAAAGTTCAAAAATGAACCATTCTTTAAACATCGATCTATAGCTAAACCTACTCCTAAACGTCAATCCATAGCTAAACATACTCCTATACAAGTCGATATTAACCCGCAAATAAATATAACTAATCATACTCCTACACGAGTCAACACCAATTCATAGCTAAACAATACTCTTATACAAATCAAGTACGTGCTTTCTTCCTTACAAGTCTTTTAGTAAAGCTACCTTACGTTCACCTCTTAAGAATTGAATGCTGAATATAGGAAGGTTTGTCTAGTATAAGAGTTAATGCCTCAAATTCATCGTCCTCACTAAGACCCATAGCAGCGAGCTCATCAGCAATGTCACTCCTATCTTCTCTGTCATTAATTAAACGCTCAACTAACTTATCCATGAGCTCAACTGACCGAGAATAAGCACGCTCAAATGATGTAGCATCTCCTTTATTCAATGATGGGTCGTCTCTTGATCTCCCTCTTTTTTACTTGAAATTTCAAACTGAGATCCCATGGAATGTTGGGAACTACTAGGTTGGCAACTGATACGGGAGAACAACCACCTTAACCTCAAGAGCTCACCATTGGCCTTCTCCAAATTATCTCTTCAAACATTTCACCAGGAGTTGCTGCTCCACATCTAGTTGCAGATGCATTCCGAATATATTGATTAACCTCTCATATATGGGGAATGGCTTGTTTCTCCATTTTCTGCCTGCGTGTGAGACTGTACATTCCACAAGTTAGAAAAATACTAAAATAACCATAAAATCAAATTGAGATTGAATTTACACCAACCGTATATAAGACTCCCAAGTAGCATCACTATCAACCATCACACATTTTTTCGCATCATTCCATATGAAGCCATCCGTGTTAACATGTCAAGAATTACACCATATTGCTTTTCCATTTCTCATCTTTGAGTCAATGTGCGGAGAAGCTTTCAAGCCAGACTTTGGTAAAACTTTGTCAATGCCTTTTCAATGGTGATATACGTACTGGCTTGAAGGTACGTTTTCAGTACGACCACCCTCAAGGATTACGGAGTCTAATATGTTCAACAATGCAGCTTCTTCAGCTTTGGTCCATACTCGCCTCGATTCCTTTTCTTATCATTCACTTTGATGTCACAACTGATTACTTCCAATTCCATTCCTAAACATCGCATTTCATTATTATTGAATCAAAAAATTTATAACAAACAATCACAATTACAACAAAAGAGAAAATTCACTGTAATCATGGCAAAGAAGCCAGTTCAGATTATTCCTCCCAAGAAACAAATTTATTTCTTGAATTGAGAAGCCTTTGTTCAAATTATGCTCCAATTTCATTCAGATTTGTTCAAACTCAGAAAGCAAAAGCCAAAATTTGCCATACACAGAGCTTCAAAATTCACAAATTCAAGCACTAAACGCCATAAAAAGAAGAATTGAAGGAAGAAGAAAACTCACTATTCAGCTCCGTCAAAGAGAGAGCAAGGAGACGAGTGAGTTAACACATCAAAACTCGCCGGAAAGTTGCCCAGAAAGCCGAGTCGAAGAGAGGCGAAATCGGAGCTAAAACCTGTGAAAATTGTGATAGATCTGTTAAGGTTTCGAATACCATCGTAAATCTGGAAAATTCAGTCAAAATTCTACCTGAAACGAAACGATCGTGGAGAAAATTAAACCTCTTTCATGGCGTGTTTGTATTGCGAAGTCGAGGACGAAACAGTGAACGAGAATACAGAGACGAAAAATACCCGCGGTGCGGTGTAAAAACCGTGAGGGATTAATTATTTACGTCCTAAGTTGAACTTAAGTAAATTTAGGTCTATTAAATTGAAAAGTAATGCTTTGTCCCCTATTACGGCAAATATAGATATATGTCTGATTCATATGTGTCGCATAGAGGTGGAACAAATGAGCGAGTTAGGCGGTCAACCCTAACCCGGCCCGCATTAGAGAGGGTTCAACTCGGACCGTCTATAGGTAGGCAAGGCGGGTCGGGTTGAAACCAACTGCATGCAACCCCTGGGCGGGCCGGGTTGCTATTTGGTTACAATAGCCAACCGACGGGTTGGCCCAAAAAAATTTAAAAATTAATTATTTTTTCAAGTTTCCCCCATTTTTTTAATTCTTTTAATTTAACTATTATGATTGAACTCTTACAAATAATTTTACACAATAATATTAAACTATACTTTAAATCAAAATATTAAAATGTATAAAACTTCGTAATATTGACACATTGTTATATTATTTTTTCTGGCGTAAAATATAAAAAAATTAAATACTGAAGTCTTATTCTTAAATTTCCATGTCTTGTATAAAATATAATTAATTCTTATGCTAAAGTTTCATCAATTGAATGAATAAATCTAATTTTTTTATTACAATTTTATTGTATTAAAATTGAATTAATATTTGAAATGTTAATAAAAAAATTTAATTAATGAATTATTGATATTTGAAAAATTAACTAAAAACAATTACATTTATTCATTTATAAATCGTTAATTATTTATTTGAAAAGTTAAGTAAATAAAACATAATCAAAAATCAAAAAAGGGGGTTAACCCGGCCCGATTCACAGCCTAACCCGGCGGGTTAGGGTTGGCGGGCCGGGTTGGGCCAGCCATTCCCCCAAAAATGGCGGGCCTAACCCTGTCTACCTTTGTTGGTGGGTGGGTTAGGACCAACCCGCCAAAAGTAGTAACCCACCACAGGCCGGGTCGGGTCGGGCCAGGCGGGTTACTTTTCCAACTCTAGTGTCACATAGTAGCTCGCAAATGGTCGGCTCGTATTTGGTCAGACGGGATTCATTGTTGGACAGATGAAACCCATTATGAGCTAACATATTACTGTTCTTGTTAAATGTTCTAATAAGGATGACCCTTCTAACTTGTTTGATAAACATGTCGGCTTCGTTTGGTTAGTTTTTGGGAATACTACTTTTAGTATTCCACAAAAAGTAAAACAGTAAACTACCCAAAAACTCACAATGTTATTCAACTTTATTCAACTTTTTTTTAAACCCCTTAAATTTTTTAATTTAATTAAATACCTTCAAATATTTTTTTAAAAATTACAAAAATACCCCAACAATCCACATTTACTATATTCCAGCCACCACTACCGAAAAATGGCCAGAACCTGATAGGATGGCGCACTACCGGCTAAATCAGGCCAGTAGTGCGCCGATCTAGCCTTTTTTGTCCAGATCCACCGTGGATCTGGCCGGAAAAAGCCAGATCTAAGGCCAAAGATCTGGCCGTAATCAGTTGGTAACGAGCAAATACGGCCAGATCTAGCCGTAGATTTGGCCTTTGCCGGCCAGATCCATCGTGGATCTGGCCGGAAAAGGCCATATCGGCCCACGACCGGCAAGATACAACTGGTCATGTGCCGATATGGCGACTCCGGCCACCCTCCGGCGGTGGTGGCCGGCTGTCCGTATTTGAGAGTGGGTTGGGGGTGTTTTTGTTAACTTTTAATGTTTATTATAGGGGTTGTTTTGTAAAAAAAAACATAAGGGGTATTTTAGAATTTATAAATCCTACATCGTAATACCCGTCCAATTCAACTTTTTTTTAACTTTTTTCAGAAAACTTTTCCTAAAAACACAAAATTGTGAACCAAATGGAGCTGTCATATTTTTGTTGCAACACTATTCAACACGTTAATCCGTTTATGACATGTTTAACTCATCTGATTGTTGCCTTTATTGTTTGAGGATCTAAATGTGTTATGTTTTGATCTTATGCGGACCACACTGTCATTTTTGGGAATCTAAGTTAGTTATCTCAAATTTTATGGATTAACATGTAATTTACCCGTGCGGTTGTGCGGGTTTATTTTTAGAGGGATAGTGCCTAATTTTAATGCAGTTCAGTACACTAAAATTTTAAATTTTAAATCGTTTCACTGTTCTCTGCAAAACCCCAACAATCAACCGAACGAAGCTCGGCCAAGAATGGTGGGAACGAATTTGAAGGCGGAGACGATGAGTTTGATGGAAAAGAGAACGGCTGTTGAAACCGAGATGAACGCCATCATCCACCGTCTCTCTCAACCGGACGGCCCTGGTCTCTCCGGCAACCTAGTTGACGCCGAGGCATTCGATCGAATTTGACTTTAAAAATTGTTTTTAATTTCTTAAATTTTTGAATGTTGAAGGTTAGCGGTGTGCTTTTGAGTTGATTTTTTTTTTATTATTATTGTTTGTTTGTGTTGTTAGGGCTTTCCTCGTTCTGATATCGATGTACCTCTTGTTCGAGCTGAACGACGTCGTCTAGCTGGTAATTTTGTTTGAGTTATTGGTTTATTTATTTATTTGTTATTTTGTTGGTTGAGTTTCCACAATATTCTATACAGTAGTTTGTNACATTCCAAATATTAATTCAATTTTAATACATTAAAATTGTAATATAAGAATAATTAAATTTATTCATTTATTAAAAAATAAAATAAGAAATTACAATAATTATTGCCTCGTTAAAAACCTCACCAAGAAAAACTTAATAGGACAAAAACTTGATAAGGAAAAAAGAGTGCAATAATTGACAATTAATTTACAAGTTACAATTTACAATTTACAAAACAACTAATTTTGGGGTTCACTAGGATCTCCCTCATCCGTATCATCTATATTACAAAATTGAAATGATTCTATTAAAGTATTGTCGACAACCTCGTATTGATCTTGATGGCGCGACCGTTCCCAATCTCGAAGACATGTGAGGACTTCAATCATTTGTGGTGAAAGTTTAGTCCTCCTTTCTTTTAAAATTCTTCCACTTGCACTAAATGTTTGATCGGATGAGACGTTTGAGACAGGAACAGCGAAAACATCCAAGGCAAGTCTTGATAATACCGGAAAAATACATTTTCTGGCTCTCCAATAGTCTAAGAGATCAATGTTAGCTCTCTGTTTGTGGATCTACTGGTAACATTTTAGGGGTTGCCAAATATTGTTGAAGTTCATTACTTTGCGACTGTATGGAAGACAGTACATTAGTTGTTGTTTTTTATGGAGCTTCTGAAGAGGAGGTTATGATTCGGATTCGGGTCCTCTTTGGCCTATTCAGTGCACCCCAAGAGTAGAAGTCTTCATTTGTTTCTTCTGATGCAGCTTCTCTAGATGTTTCGCCTCTTTGCGGGTTCCCATACCTGTTTTCATACTGGAAATATACTTTGAAAAGTGTATTTTTTACCTCTCCTATTTGATTGGCATATANACAATATTCTATACAGTAGTTTGTAAATGATATTAAGTTTTGGATTACAAAAACTGTGTTTTGAAGTAGTTTTCTGGGAAGCGCGTTTGAGCGTAAGCATTACTGCCAAAAAAAAAAAAAAAAAGACACTTAAAAAGTTTGTTTTTGGAAATGTATAGATGAAGTGATTTTAAAAAGCATTTCAAATGCTTTTTGGAAATGTATAGATGAAGTGATTTTAAAAAGCATTTCAAATGCTTTCTTATCTAAGATGTTCTTTTAATCAAGTACTTGTTGCAACAGCACTTTAGCCACAGCCAAATAATGCAAAAAATAATGGTAGTTTATGTTTTATATGCATTGCTTTTATATTTATAGTATTTACTTATTTTGAGTGCAGAGTTGCGAAATGATCATAAGGAGATTACGGATAAAATAAATGAAAATATACAACTTCTGCATTCGGCAAGGCTCTCCTCGTTATCCACATCTGTCAAAGATTCAGGTTTGTGGCTGGAAGTAGTTATTTATGGTCTTATTTAACAAGAGGATTCTTTTGATGCAATTGCATATTTTTTTCGGATAAATATTGTGTAGCTCACTGGTGCTTCTGTTTGTGCATGAGTTAATGAACTATTTACTTTGATTAAAGATGTAATTGTTAGCTTAACTATCAATTTTGAATGACTGAGATCATTGGTTGTAGTTGCAAGTTTTTAGGATTCAGTGTTGTGGTTGTTGAACACTGTTTTTATTTCACAAACAAATCTGGTTGATCACCGCTGTATTGCTAACTGTTTGTTTGCTTGTTAACATTGATCTTTATAATTTTCTCCAACAAGTTTACCTCATAATACTTCAGTGCCCTCTTTCCCTCACTCTCTCTCTCACAATACTTGTGTTTTGAAAGTTCCCTTTTGTAGCGATAAGTGTGTTCAAATTTTTTATAGGATAGATTTCTTATTGGCTCATCTGTAAAATGCATGTTTTGTAATTTTAAGGATAAGAATTGATGAAGGCTGTTTAGGTTTGTTTAACCTTATTTTCATCTGGTTTGCTCACTACTTGAAATTTGAGGAGCACTAGACTCATCTTTCACTAGTTTTAGCCTTATAGGTTTAGGTGCTAAGGTCTGTTTTGCTTGGATTATAAGTTTTAGAACGTTTCTTATCGCAGATATTTTCTCTTTAAAAATGTAGTAAAGTTTGATAATTATGTGTTCTGTATGTGGACTGATCACCTTGTGTGTATGTCTATTACATCACCCTTAACCTTTTTTATTGATGATTTCTTTATTTTTTTTAAATGGTGCAATAGTTTTTCTTGGTGAAATAACCTCTTTTTTTTTTTTTTTTTTAATTATGTTTTCTTATAAACATGAAAATGATTGCATTTTTTTTTGCCTTGTCTTGAAGGTAATGATGCAGAGTCAAATAATCAAAACTCATCACTTGTCAATGCTGTTGCTTCAGCATCCCCAACCAATATTATTCAGAGAGATTCTCCTTCTGCAATGGATGTGGATGTGATTATCAGCAAACCCTTTGCACTTATTGATGAAATTACTGATGCATCTCCTGCGGCAGAGGATGGTTTGCAGCTTGGAGATCAGATTGTGAAATTTGGGAAAGTAGAAGCTGGTGAGAATTTGCTAGAAAGGCTTGCTGCTGAAGGACGGTCAAATCAGGGTCAAGCAGTTCCTGTAGTAATAATGAGGCAAGGTGTTCTCATCAACCTAACAGTGACACCCCGAACATGGCAAGGCAGGGGTTTACTGGGGTATGTGATGTCCTTCAATTTTCTGGCCTCGTGTTTATGTGTCTATTAAATCTTAATTACCAATGCTATTAATTGATTACATCATCTGTGATTTTTGAAGTTAATCATGTTTCTTGTTCTTTGCTACTACTGTTTTTTTTTTTTTTTTCTTAATCTGCTATCTTCATAATTTTGTTCTGTAATTTCTTGAGTTTACCCAGATAGGTCATCAAGGTTTCCTACTGTGATATGTGTGTTTTAAAATCTTTTTAATGAGTCTCTGTAGACTAGGGAATCTGAAGATCATGGTTTTTAAATATGAAACATCATGTCTGTAAGTGTACAAAAAATTTGCAAAAACCTGAATAACCGAGCTTCAGATGAGTTCAGATTCCTAAAAGACTTTTACAACAACAGACTTTCCCTCCTCTGATAGATTAGGTTATCAATTTCTTTTCTGGCATACCCAACTTTTCATGGCCAAATAAAGGAAAAGATTGTGCCACCTCTAGTCATAGATTGAGTGTGAATCAGAGCAGCTGTAGCTAACTTAGAGCTTTGCTGTCATATATTCTCAATTAAACTGTTTTCTTGAAATGTTGCTATAAAATTGCTCTTAAAAGTTCTAATTTGTGGCTTATGTTTTATTTCTTGTAGATGCCATTTTCGGATCTTATAGGTGGTCATACACTCAATACTTTCAATTCATAGTGTGGAGGATGTCATACTTGGTAAGGTGTTTTTTGGCAGTTGCAATTTGGTGCTTTGATGGACTTATTTGCAGAAAAACTCTGTTTCTATGTTTTTCATGTATCTATAAAACAATGTAATATTTTGTCTACCCTTTTTACAAATTTTGCGGATGTGTGCTATGGTAATATCCTCTTGATTCACTTGACACCATTGGTTTGCTACTTTGTCCTTGTCTATGCTAGCCTCTGCTTGTTTCGCTGAACAAAAAGTTACAAATTCTAAACCCAATTTTTAACCACTGATGAAAATGTGGCCATCAGCCATTGGCCATCACCATTGTTGTGTTATTTAATGACATATTAATTACTGCTAACCTGATATTTCAATAATGAATAGATTGCTGTTAATGTCTGTTGAACCATGTTACACTAAATGTGTCCTTTAATATATGTTGTCATTTTGATTGTGATGCCGTGACCTCCATTCTTTTCTTCCCTATTATCATTTGCATCATTACTTTCGGGAAAGTCAATTTATTACTGGTGTAGGTCAATCTTGTACCTTGCTGGTCTCTATGATGGAGTCAAGTTATTTCTTGTAACCAATATATCTCGCCTTTCATTGATCATGTATCCCTCCTCTGCTTTTTTTTTTTTTTTTTTTCTCTCTCTCTTATATTTACAAACTAATTAGGGTCGGGGTTCTTGCTTTTTATCTTCCCTAACACTCTTCTGTTTCTTAATGACATTGATCATCTTTTCTCCACACTTTGTATGAAACCCCATGAGATTAAATCGATTACATTTTGTATGTTACTAAAAGGACGCCATGCCATTCTACAGAGTAGCAACTAAATATGCTGTCTATTACTAATATAAAGTTAGGATGTTTTATTATTTTATTTTAATTTTTTAATGCGTGTTTAAGCCTTTGGACCAATTGATGGATGCCACCTAATGGATGCAGTCTTAGTGATCAAATGTCCTTTTCATTTGAAAGAATAAAATCTTTCACTTTTTACTTTTTATTTTTTACTGTTCTTGACCAGTCCATGCTTGATAGGTTTACACTCCTTTTGCTTTTAGTCTCTTGACAACTTTACTTTGTTTTCTCCCTTTCTTGTTATTCTAGACTTAGGATTAGTCAATCAAATCCAAAATTTTTAGGGTTTTGATTGATCTGGCTTCTTCATGTCCCATACAATTAAATTGAATTCTCCCCCAATTATTAAATTCTTAAAAGTTGCACTTTCATAATCAATAGTAAAATATGCGATAAATTCAGAATTGTTGTCTCCTACCACGAAATCTAGGGTTTGAGTTTCCTAATAGGCACGTATATGGACAAAAGTCATTGTTTCCCGCTTCTCATAAATCGTAAGGTTCTGAAGGGGCTATAGTTTCGAGCTTGCAAAGCGAATGTTAGGGAATTTTGATTATGAAAAAAAGATTGTAGAGTTCAACGAGGGTTTCAGTTTTATATTTTTCTCATTTGGGAAGCTTGGGTAGGAGAATCATATTATTGGAGGCCATTATTCAAAATGATAGGCATGTTCAAAATACAAAACGTGAGAGAGAATTTTCACCCACTAATTTTGACTCTAAGCCTTAATTTACCTCATAAAAGTACAAAGGGACATGGAATTTGACTTGACACCAAAGATAGAAAGAACAGATTTCACCTAAAAATGCTTTTCTTCAAGGAATGGGAAGAAAGAAAGAAAGAAAGGCAGGACATTGACGACAAAAGGAGTAAAGATTTATTCTAAGCTTATTTGTCTTTGTTGATTTGTTTGCCATTTGGGATTATTAAAGCTTATCCTAATTTTTGAATTAGAAAATTTTGATTTAAAGGTCACACTTTGTTGGTCTATGAAAGGAAAATAAATGTGTTCTTTATATCTTATTTTAAAAACCTTTATGAGTAAAAAGACTAATTTAACCTTACACAAGTTAAAGGTAAGGGATGTCTTCGATAGTTTTCAAAGTTTGTAGTTGTCAAGCGTCAGTTTCTCGAGTTACATATTAACCCCTGAAAATGATACGTATTCATCTATCTCTTAATTTTAATTGACAAAAATGACCTTTTGATGATAAATTATTTTTAAAAAAAACTTGATTCATTAACAATCTTATTACATTACTCATTCGTTCGATTAATTTATTGAGAGAAACATATAATATTTATTTATGTATTTTACTAAATTTGACTATTGATATCTATGTTTTTGAAAGTGGAGTTAAATATTTACTTAGACAATCGTCGGATTAGGACAAAATTAGTGACACCAATATATATATATATATTAACTTCTTTTCATAAACTTTCTTTTACAATCTCGATGTGGTAATTTCGTAATTTATCAAGTGGGAATCCAGATAAGATCCATTACCAACTGATCAATTACAAATTGTCTCGTTGATACTATAAGAGAAAGTTTGAGAAAAAATATATATTAATTATTGAGTGTTTGTTCGGTAATCAATCTTCTTGAAAGTCAAAACTTTGTTCTTTGTTCATAAGCTTAATCTTGGTAATTAGGAATCTTAAGTGACATAATCAAAGTTAAGGATAAGGTTTATCATTTAATAAATATAAATAAACCTATAACCAACTCAAAATAAACTTACTACCAACCATTAATTAATGTTAAATAAATAAAAAAACAAGACATTTATTAATACTGGTTGTATTTTATTTTTCATAAATTCATTTTATATTAAATAATCCTATGATTAATTTGTACTAACTACTAACAACTAAAACTGTCACATTTCATTATATTTTTTTATTCCACAGTATTAGTATAATTTGTTTTTCTTCATATTATATATGATTATATTTGTAATAAGGATATTCTGTTCTACAGACTGCTTTAAAAAAATGAAGTTATTAACAGGTAGGTAGGTTATGAATCAATTATTATTACAAAAAATTTTAATGAATATTCACACAAGTTGAATCAATCTAACGTGAAAAATAAGTCAACAATTTTAATATATTTTTCAGAGATTAAATTGATGAAATTGTTAATAAATTTGAAGGTTAAATTAATAATAATGTTGAAACCCAAAAAAAAAGTCTCACACACAAGGTTACGATAGCATTTTCAGAATCAACGAATACTCACTATAAGGACAAACATACGAGATTAGAGTCGAAATAGGCCAAATACACATGTTTTACCATAAAAATTAGGGGTGTTCAAAAAAACTAATTGGAACCAAAATCGATGGGTACTCGGGATTTGGTTCTAGTTCCTATCCGGAAATGACCGTCAACAGGTAGGTTTCGATTCTAAATTTTTGGAACCGTTATTGTGCGGCTTCGGTTTCCGAGACTAATATAAAATAAAATTAAAGAGTAGGGAGGTTAATAAAAACTTTTGTAGAAAAAGTAATGTGAATACATTTATATTTATATTTCATAACATTTAAAGTAAATTGGTTTGACTTTGAGCATCTACCTTTATAAAGTAATGAAGTTTGTAATTTTGAATTTTGAATTTTAAATTTATAATTTGTAATTTTATTTTTGTTAACAAGTGTTAGGTTGGTGGGGTATTTGCAAGTTTTAAGGGTTTTTTTACTATTTTAAAAACTTTTGGAGGGTCATGAATTTTACAGGATACCCAAAACTAAAGCGGAAACTGTTGTTACAGGTTTCGGTTTCGGTTCCAAATTTTAAGGAACCGTCGGTTCTAATTTCGATTCTGATTCCTTCAAAAAAATGAAGAGTACTGGGAAGTCGGGATTGAACACCCCTAATAAAAACCCCTTCTTTATATGATAATTTTATATTGATAAAATTTATTTATATTAAATTTTATTTAATAATATGTACATAAATTCAAATCGGATGATGGTGATAGCCTTGCCAAGAAAATCAATGGGAACAGCCGGTGAAAGAGAGGTGGAAACCGGCCGGTTCGGTCACCATTTACCAACAAAATAAATAAAGAAAGCCCAATCTTTCATTTTTCTCTCTCTTTCACTCATTTGCTCTTCACTTCTCTCTCTAAAAAGCAATGAAATTTTTGTAGTGAGAAAGAGTTTCAATCTTGATAGATCGAAACCGACATTCAATCTTCATTTTCCGATCAACCCATTTTCATTTACTCGGAAAACAATCAAAAAGTTAAGATTTTTAATGATAAATCTGTCAGCTTTTGAAATTATCCCCATGTGGAACTCACTGAAACGACACAGTTTCAAAAACCCCAGCTTTTCTTTTGAGGTAAAACATTCGCATTCTCTCTCTCCCTCTCGTTTTTAACAATGCAAAATGGAATCTTTATGCTTCTATGCTTAGTTTTGAATGTGTTTCATTGAGAATATTTTATCAAAATCAAATCTCTTTATTGTATAATAATGGTTTGGCAGCTTTTTGGTGAATATGAAGGCTGCCTCTGTTTGAAAGTTGAGCTCATTTTGATATATTTTGGTGGGATTTTTTTTATTTCAGGGTTTTTGAGCTGATTTGAAGTTTGTGGATAAGCAAAATGAGGGTTTTAGGGGTTTTTGTGAGGTGGGTTTGGGGGGTTTGAGTGAGTGCTAGGAGGTTTGGAAGTTCAAAATTTGAGTGAGTTTGAGGGTGAAAAGTTGAGATCTGTGTTAATGGATGTGGTTTGCTAGAAGTGGATGATGTACATGATTGTTGATGTTTAGGGGTTTTGGGCTTCATATGTGGTGGAAATGAGGGTTTTAGTGGATTCTGTTGGTTGTTTTTGATGATGTTGCTGTTTAATTGGGAGAATTTGAGGATTTGGGTGATGTCATCAGCTGATTTTGTTTGGTAGTTGCGTACAATTAGAGGATTTGGTTGAGCCCTCTAGCTTGTGAAATTGGCAAGATTTGAGAGATTTTGTGATCAAAAGAGCTAAGATCTCTTCAAAATTTCGGTTGAATCAACGGTGTTGAAGCAATGTCGGGTGCTCCTAGAGTAAGATCAATGAATGTGGCTGACTCGGAGACCAGGCCGGTCTTAGGACCTGCCGGGAACAAAACAGGCTCACTGAGTGCACGGAAACCTGCTTCGAAGCCATTGAGAAAGGTTGAGAAGTCACTCATAGAGGTTAATACAGCAGAGGAGAAGAAAACTGCTGTTCCGCCATCTAAGGCTACTACTACGTTGTCACCTAAATCACATTCCTCTAGTGTTCCATCAGTGCTTCGCCGACATGAACAGTTATTACAGTCTAATCTATCTCTCAATGCTTCATGCTCGTCTGATGCCTCTACAGATTCATTTCATAGTCGAGCATCTACTGGGAGGTTGACACGGTCATATAGTGTGGGGAGTAGGAGGAAGCCGTTTGCTTCAAAGCCGAGGAGTGTTGTTTCTGATGGAGGGTTGGATTCTCCACCATCTGATGGTTCACAGACCAAGAAAAGGTGTGCTTGGGTGACACCGAATACTGGTTCGTTCTTACTTCTTTGATTTTTGAGTAATTTGTTACATTTTTGCTCTGTTTGTGAGAAGTTTATGTAATCATGTGTTTTTGAGTAGCTCAAAAAAAGAGTGTTAGGGTGTAAGATTGCTTTTGTTGGTGTCATATATGGTCTTGCATTTGCCTGTCGAACCTTTTAAAATATCAAAATGAAATAGCAAAGAAGTCCGATGATTACAAAATGAAATGTAAACATTGGACTTCTTTGCTTTCTTTTAAAATTTAGTATCATTATGTATATTTTACTGCTTATGCATTCCAAATGCATATTATTGGTTCTGAGTAATAAAATGGAATGTTATTTAATTCAACTATAAAATAAATTGTTACTATGGTTGCTTGGATTGGATCATCTTTTATTTATTTATTTATTTTTTCCAGCGGCTGTTCAAAGCTAACTGACTAGGATTGCATCTCATTTATTTAACCTGCTCTACTAAAATTAGCAGTTATGTATCCAAAATGTGCTTGGCTAGTGTCCTGGTTAGTCTGGGTTCACTAATAGCTTATAGATCTGTTCTTACTGATATTGATTGTGGTTAAAAAATCGTGTTTGTAACCTGCAATATCAAGTTAATGGGCTTTTCTTGTGTCAGTGTGTGTGTTAGAGGTATTTGTATTCTATGAATGTTATGGTTTATACAATATAAACATGCTTGAATGAAATATGATACCGATTGAGCAGTGTTATGAAGCATGGCGACTCATTGACCATCATTTATAAAATCTTACTTGTTACCATATTTCTTTCAATGGTTATTATGTTTGGACAGTATTAACTGGTGACAGTGCATCAATTTTTCATGTTGAGGCATTATTAAAGACATAAGTCTAAATTAGTTGTCATATTTACCTTTGGTGTTTGCTTAATTGCTTTTGTGCTTCCAAGTATTTTTACTGAATATTTTTTTTGCTAAGCTCAGATCCCTGTTATGCTGCCTTCCATGATGAAGAATGGGGAGTTCCAGTACATGATGACAAGTATGTAATCAGAACTTTGCCTTATATCTCGAAAAAGGCTTCTGCTTGGTGGTGAAATTCTGTTTAACAAATTGTTTGGTTTATATTCTTCTCTGTGTGCAGGAAATTGTTTGAGCTTCTTGTACTTTCAGGTGCTTTGTCTGAACTCACATGGCCTGCTATCCTTAGCAAGAGGCACATTTTTAGGTATGAACATCATATGAAAGTCCATTGTTCCTTTTGTAAAATGCATTAATATCTAGTCTTGGCCTCTACCCATTTCCAGACTTTATTTTCACAATCCCTCAAATGCAGGGAAGTTTTTGCGGACTTTGACCCCATTGCGGTCTCAAAATTGAACGAGAAAAAGACAATAGCAGCAGGAAGCACTGCAAGCTCTCTGCTATCTGAACTTAAGCTGCGTGCTATTTTTGAAAATGCTCGACAAATATCCAAGGTAGATTCTCATTTCTTTTACCGTTGTCTTCTATTTAGTGGCTGAAGATGCGCATGTGCGAAGAGCATAGAGGACAGTAAGGGCAGATTTCCAGCATTAATGTGTGCAACAAGTTTCAGTTAATAAAAAACAATTTGACATGAATTTACCTACTTGAATTCACTTTCACTAAAAGTTATTCAAATAGCTACAAGAGGGCAGCTCTGACCAAGGTTGTCTATTTCTCGAAGTAGGATTAGTTAAAGCGTCAATGACTCGATTCAAGAAACCTTAGATTGGTTTGATATTCCCATTTTTTTATTAGTTTCTTTTGCAATTGCATACAATTTTTTCCTTTTTTTTTTTTCCTTTTTTGCTTAGTCAGATCTAATGGGTGCTTAGTCATGATTTGATAAGGTGCGTTAGGTGAAAAGTAGTTGAATGGTGGTCCTGATTCCTCAGCAATTAGTGTGACCCATGTAGGACAAAACATTATTCTACCTTCCTTTAATTTGATGTGAATTATTTATCTTCATGTCAAGAGTTTACTCATGCAACCAAATTATTCATATTCTTAAAAGATGCCAGCTTGTTGGTTAGTCTCAAATCATTCAGTCTGAGTTGATGACTTTATTCCAGTCGTTAGCCACTAACCTTAAGTTACTGAAGTAAGTTGCCATAATTGCGCACTTCATAGTTGCTATGATTATGATTGCAACTAACTTTTTGCAGGTTTTGCCTGATGCCAGGTCATAGATGAGTTTGGATCATTTGACAATTATATTTGGAGCTTTGTGAACCACAAGCCTATAATGAGCAAGTTTCGGTACCCTCGACAAGTCCCCGTGAAATCCCCGAAAGCTGATGTGATAAGCAAAGATCTTGTGAGACGAGGATTCCGAAGTGTGGGGCCCACTGTCATCTACTCGTTCATGCAGGTGACGGGGATAACCAACGATCATCTCACTGGTTGCTTCAGGTTCCAGGAGTGTATAGCTGCTGTTGCGGAAGCGAAGGAAAAAAACGGTGTCCCTGATAAGGACGAGGACAAGAAAACAGACGGTGCCATTGAATCAGAACTATCTATCGACGCATTAAGTCTCTCCTCAGAATGATGAACCCAAAACAAAAGAAGTCTTGGTTTGTGGCAACAGAAGGAGCTTCCAGGTCCAGTCATCACTTTGCCATGAACTGATATTTACAGCTTTTGGGGTAGTAGTAAAAAAAAGGAATGAAAGGTGGATTTGTGTATAAAATTTCATGAATTCTTATGCATCATGGATTTGTAGATTGTAGATTACTAAAAGTGAAATTACAATTAACTGGTGATTTGTGATGATGATAAGAGGCCTATCTATCTGTCACAGAGAGCCCTTCCAAATTGATGTACAATTTTTTGTACAGTTGAAAGTTATTATTAGTAATTAGAAATTTATCTAATCTTTTAAAACCAAACTCCAACAACAAACAAAAAACACCTAACATAAAGTTGATACTACTACAAATAATTGTACTATTCAATCTGTCACATTCTGTTTCATCACCTTACAGGTTAACAGAGTTGATTACATTTTGGTCCCTGAGATTTTTTGGCCTCTTTAAGGTCCAGTAGAATTTGAAAGTAATATTTAAGTCCTTATCAGTTACTAGCTATTTGAAATTTTATAAATGTTTAAAATACGTTTAATCAAATTTTTATTTTTGTTATGATTAATGTAATGGTTCTAAGTTTTTAACAAGATCTATTAGTTAAAGTGTTTAGTTTTGAGTAATATTATACTTTCCAAATGATATTTCAAATTTACTATCGTAAGTGATGTGTTGTCCTATGGGATGTTGATATATCGTTTATCACATAACTCTTTATTTATACGTAAATGTTACATAAAACAATACATCACTTAGGATACGATATTTGGAATATCACGTGAAAAATATAGTATTTTTCTTCTTATTTAAAAATTTTATTAATTTTTAATGTCAATATTATAGGGCAAGATTATTGGTATTTTAAGAGTTAAAAAGAAATTTTAAACAGTGGTTAACTGACAAGGTACTAAGTGTTACTGTCATACTCGACTGGACCTAACGTTGCTAAGGCTAAATCTGAGGGACCAAAATGGAGTTTGCTCCAATTTGAACAAGTTTTGAGGAGGTGGGTCAGGTTGATTGTTGATGAGTGAATAAGAATTTGGTCATGGTGGACAGCTAAAGCATGGTAGATTTTGAGCAGTCCTTTTTAGCTTTTAATGGGTGACAATGATGGCATTTGGGGCACCATGTTTTATGTCCCTAAAGAGAAGGTACATCTAGGATTCCTAATTTTGAGACATTTTTAGGGTTTTGTTGGGCCCTAGATTTCATTGCCATATATTTTCTAGGATGTATCTCTCACTAGATTTTATCATTGATGCCTATTTTGTGATGGTTATAGCATTTGGTTTATTGTCATGGAATGGAAAAGCTTTCTACCCTATTGACCTAAATTATAATGTGATGGAATGTGTTGTGGGTGATGCTTCTTTTGGAAAGCTTTGAAGCTTTTAAAACATGGGATTTTTTTTTTTTAAGTATTTAGGGTAAGTTCAAAACTCCTTTTTCCTATTACTGTAGTGTTTTCCTATCTACAAAAGAGGGAAGATCTATCCTTAAGGTTTTCGTCAATTATATCCAAGTCTTGTATTTTAAAATATTAGGATTTAACAAATATTTAAAGAACAATTAATTGGGAGAAAATTTTCGGTTTAAAAACCAAAATACTCCCAATTTCGATATTATCCCAGTTTTAAAAGCTCAAATTTTATCCTCGACTACCTATTTCTCCTCAACAACGGATACAACCAAGGGAAATAATATCCCAATGCTTTAAATTGTAAGAGCATATGTTACAATATAATATCGTATTGATTGTATTTACCTCATAAGTAAATACATTTTCTTATTATGTGACTTAAAAAAGAGCATATGTTAAGAGTATCAATTTTTATGATATACATGTCAGCTTTCTCAAGAACCAAAACAATAATTTTTTTCCTCTTTGCCAGGGTAAAATAGTGAAGTTTCAAAGCATCAGAGCAACTTCAAACAAGTACAACTAGATTCCATCTCAGATGCAGCCCAGAAAACTATTAACAATACAGTAAAAATACGCCACATGCGATTTCTCTATCTCCTGGAAAAACATGAATTGCAAGGACAGTTCCGCTCATGGAACATCAAGGTGAGAACAAAGGGACGAGGGATCGACTAGTATTTGATCTAACAATTACAGAGTTTATACATAAGTGGTCGTGGGAGAGGCTATTACCGGGTTACCCAAAAAGATTGGGTAACCACCACAGGAACTCATAAGAACACCTGAGAATGAAAACGAAAAGCCATACCAACTGATCCTAAATCATGGATACTGACTATTAGATATTGCTCTTACAGTAACTAGCGTAAAACTAGATCTATGACCAGACAAAAAGGTGTAAGCTAAATTGTTCCCACTGCTATAAATCAGCTCAAATACAATATCAACTATACAACTGCGCACAGAAAGACTACATAATTAAGCAACAATAAAAAGATACAAACAGAAAAAAGAAAATCAAACCCGGAAAAACAATAATATGGAGACAGATGCATGATTTTCATACAAAAAAAAGCAAACTAAGGATCTTCCTATTGTACCCTGGGCTGATGAAGGGAGATTTCAGCAAGGTTTTATTTCAAATCCAATGCTAAGAAGAGTTCGAGCTGATTCTATTGCCTTCTCACCTCCCAGGTCCATGGCCGCACCAGTCAATTCACCTTCTGTGCCCACTGACCACTGGGTTGAACTCGTTTGGTTTTGGACTCCATCTGTTTTCTTAAATTGTGAATTGTTCATGGAAGCGGGAGCAGCAGCAGCGACAAGAGGAGCGCTTGGTGGGCCATGTCTCTTCTTGGGTACAGGCATGTCGTGGTCATGTACCCCCTTATATGTTATAATGACAGCACTTGTATTATCTACAGCTGTCTCAATGTGCTTTCGGACGGGGCATCCAGCAGATGTGCATCTATAATAGTTCCTGATAAAAAGTAATGCATGAGAGAGGAAAAGGGTAGGCGGGAATGGCCCCTGACCATATAATTGCTAGGGTGATAAATTTAAAAAATAAATAAATAAATAAAAATAAAATAAAATAAAATACTGGTGAGGTCCTCAACCAGTTGCCCCAGAAAACATTATTCATTCAAATGGAAAAAGGTAGACAGATGCATATGAACTCAAAATGTAAAAGCATGTACAGCTGGGTGGCTCTCAAAGCAAATTAAAAGGCTTCTCATGCTTATTTAATACTCATTATTCTTACCAGTTAACGCCGGACCGTTCTGATGTGTTTGACATTTGAGACAATCATAAAAGATATCTTGTATCTCTCATTAGTTGACACATACAAGAAAATAACCACCTTAAGGTCATAAACAGGACCAGTAATTATATAAATTTATATCTTAGTAAAACTGGTTTTGCTATCAGAATTGGCAGGTGGAAAAGATCTATTTCCTTTGTCTTTCAAGAGCTAGTGCCTTCTAATTTGTCTAAACTTTAAGTCCTTTTCTTGTCCACAACTACCGGGAAATGTCCTTCAAAAAGTTGCATGGAATTACAGATATTACCAAGCCATTTAACTAACAAATTGTAAAATTCCTATTTAGCTAATGATGTTGCCATTTTTGAAAAGGAATTATTAAATAGGTAAGAGTTATCCATGGGACATTGATTACATTCCACTTCAGTAGCTATTCTAATTTTTTATGATAATAATATCTGAAAAAAAAAAAATAGAAAGGAATGAATAAGGGAAAATTATAGGAGATCACATTGCCGTTCGGAAAGGCAGTCCAAAAATGCTATGACAAGCAATAACGGAAGGAAAAAAGCAAACCAAAGAGGAAAAGGGATCAGTTATCCAGTTAGATCCTCAACTTAAGTCATAATAAAATAATGTAGTCTCATATGTACTAGGTTAACCAAGATTTAAGATTTTTTTACACATCTAAGAGTCACAAGACCAAATCATTGTCAAGCATCAAATCTTAAAATGCACTTCAATCTCCACTGTTCATTTTATGCACACAACCCTGGTACCGCATGGAAAGGATCCCTTGGGTGGACACTTGTCAATATCCAATTGAGCTGATCAGTTAAGGAGGACCAAAATGCAGAAAAGAACATCCTTGACAAGGAAAAGTTAGAAAACAACTCTCATATTCCTAATGGGATCTTGTGGTGCATGTCATCAGAAATATTAAGATATAACCTAGTTAATCCGAAAGAACGACTCAAATGGCAAATCAGAGGTAAATGATTTGAATTTACTTTTCTTTATGTCTTGGTGGTGGAATAGAAACCGCAGGGATCAAGGGCATAAATTTTGCATCAAGAAAGAATTAATGACTTAATGATGCAGGCACTGTCAGGTTATGAACAGAAGAGAGATCCAAAATTTAACTAGAAGTTCTTAAATAACTTAAGGAAAAATAGAATTATTGAGTCAATCAACAAGACAAAGAATGTTTCATCAGAAGACTACCTATGCTTAGAGAGAGAGAGAGAGAGAGAGAGAGAGAAGAATTGACGAGAAAAATGATAGATGGAAATGTCGAGGAATCTAGATTAATGGATGAATAATTCACTAAATTGTGTCTAAGAAAAATGAATTACAAGTAACATTTAGAATCGGCAAGTTGAATTCCATGTGTTAATATCTGATTTTCCAACTCTCTTTATTGAAGAGATGACTTGCACTATGTACTCCTAGTCAATATATTAAGCTACACTAACATTTTTATTTTAATTAGACATATGGGGGCACAGCATTGGGAAAGGTTAAGGAATCGACAAGTTATTTGATGTCCAAAAATTCTGCTGACATTAGATAGATAACCATTCACAGCTTAGAAATTTATCTTCTAATAATATAAGGGCAGTTACTTGCAGTAAACAGGATGCGTTAAAGTACCATCAATTAAGGCATATCAGCAAACTCAATTGCAAAGCACCAAACTAGCTGAGTAGCTGCTTAAGCACTAAGTAAGATGAAAACAACTATTTTCTTTGTGTATGTGTGTGTTGGGGGAAAGAACGGAAAAATCAAATTAAGAAACGTAACACTTTCTCTGTGAATCAACTGATATCACATAGAACCAGCAGCTACATGATACTTTAGCCATTGCAGTACCATACCCA